AAGTCGGAATTTGGTGTTAGGGACCCAAGACTCTTGGGGTGTTAGTTTATCAACACTTTAAAAAGTGTTATTTTAACACTATTTTGGTGGGTTACATATACACACTAAGAAAGTGTTACATTTAACACTTTGGGTGTTCAAATTCTGATCTCAAATTTGCTGTGTGTCTGGTCTCTCCTCCCATCAACACAGACAGACAGTACATCTGCTGCTTTCCCAACACATGGCTGTCTCCTTCCCTCCATGCCTCCATCCTTCCTTCCATCCAGGGAAACACTCAACACTCAATTAACATTTCTCCCTGTTTCACTCCTTTCCAACGTAGCATTGTTAGCCCACTGGCACGGTACGTTATGCGCAAGAATCCCCCTGTCGATGAGAAAATCAAACAATGCTTATTTACACTATGCAGGAATAAGTCATCACCCGCCGTCCATTCCCGGTGGAGGAGTTGATGACAATGAGGGAATATTTTGTTTGACCGCAATATAAAGTAGATCCAGATGGTGGCACATGTGATGTGATTGAGGCGGCCGTGTGAAACTCCCCTATCACTGGCTGTGTATTTTGATATGAGCCTTTTTGGGGGAGTGGAGACGGAGTGGACAGGAAGAAGTGAATGCAGCTGTCAGCCCTGTGTTATGGGCGATTCAGGACATGTGGCGGACGTACGTCGATGCAGGTTTGCGTGTGTCAGTGTGTATGGGTTTGGCTCTGGTCCTTTGTCGTTCAGACACCATTCTATACAACAATGATGAGGTCTCTCTTGCGAAGAGATTTCATCTCAAAATGAGACTAACCTGTGTATATAAAGCTAAATAAAAAGAAAAGTATCTTGTCATTCACACAATGTGTTTTTTTGGAATAGGTAGATGTTGCTCCCAACCACTGACACAGGGTCAGCTATTTCTCCATATCCCTAATGGTTAAGGTTAGGACTGATAGAATCTGATGTTAGACTATTAGACTCTCTCCTTCTCTCCTTCTCCCAGAGACGACAGACCAGGGAAGCAGGCGCGAGCTCAAGTCCATGCCCTTCATCAGCTACCTGTCTGGGCTGCTGAAGACCCAGCTGCTGACAGAGGACCTGGTGAGCGGCGTGGAGATCCGCTGCGAAGAGAAGGGCCGCTGCCCCTCGGCCTGCCACCTGTGCCGTCAGGCAGGCCGCGAGCAGCCCTCGCCCATCCCTGTCCTGCTGGAGGTCAGCCGCATCGTGCCCCTCTACAGCCTGGTGCAGGACAACGTCACTAAGGAGGTGAGGGGGGATGGAGGGAGAGATGGATGAAGGGGCAGTGAGATGGAAGGAGGGTGGAGGAACCTCTACAGTCTGGTATAGAGGACAACACCACCAAATAGGTTAGGGTGGAGGGAGGGAGGGAGGGAGGGAGGGAGGGAGGGAGGGAGGGAGGGAGGGAGGGAGGGAGGGAGGGTGGGATAAGAGGGAGGGTGGGGCACCCTCCTCAGTGTGATATATTGTAGGACTGTCATTATAGGTGAGGAAAGAGGGATGAACAGAGAGAGAGAAGAAGGGAGGGGGGAACAGAGGGAGACAAGGATGGTGGGAGAAGAATAGGGATGATGGGGGGAAGACCCCTCTATAGTCTGGTACAGAACTACATCACCAAAGAGGTGAGGGATGGAGGGGAAAGAGGCAATGGAGAGAAGGAAGGAGGGAAGGAGTGGAGAGGGATGGAGAGAAGGAAGGAGGCAGTGGAGAGAGATGTAGAGAAGAAAGGAGGGAGGTAGTGGAGAGAGATGTATAGAAGGAAGGAGGGAGGTAGTGGAGAGAGATGTATAGAAGGAAGGAGGGAGGTAGTGGAGAGAGATGTATAGAAGGAAGGAGGGAGGCAGTGGAGAGAGATGGAGGTTAGGTGGGTGGTAGAGAGGGGGCGATGGGGAGCTCTCCTCTGTTTGATAAATAACTATGTCACCACAGAGGTGAGGGGAAAGGGGGAGGAGGAGAAATGGAGAGAGAAGGATGGTGGGTGGAGGAGAGGTGACAATGGGGGGATGGGGGAGACATCATCAAAGAGGTGAAATGGGGTTAAAGGCAGAGAGGAAATTGAGAGATATGTGGAAGTGTCAGGCCAACAGGACAGTTTACTAAGTGTAAACATGAATTAAAGCAATTTCATAGAATAAAATGATATTTCTGTAGAAAATAAGCAGATAAAAATAGATGTGTCATCTGGTCAAAGGGTTCAACCCAAAGTTCATTAGCTATAACTGTACAGGAAATTCAAGAACAAGAAACATATTTGTATAGTTCCATGTCATTTATTCACACACCCATTCTTAATTTGGCTGCTTTGATAATATAATATTATACAGTATAAGGCCTTTTTTATTTCACCACAGTGAAGTTGACACAATCGTGCTTGGCTGTAATGTCAGGGTTTGGCTTTGAATTAAAGGCTGTTTTGATAATATAATATTATACAGTATAAGGACATTTTTATTTTACCACAGTGAAGTTGACACAATCACGCTTGGCTGCAATGTCAGGTTTTGGCTTTGAATTAAAGGCAGTCAATTCAGGAAGTTAACAAAAATTACAATTCAATAATCGAAAAAGGGCATTTATTTTCAATCACTTCTCAATAAATTGAAAAGCAGAAGCTATTTATTTTAAGAGTTGTAATATTTCTGAATTTTAAATTCAAATCACTTCCTGAATTGACTGCCTTCAAGACAAATTGAGCCCAACCCTGGTAGATGTAGTTACCAAAATCCCCCCTAGGTGGAGTAAGTGGGTTAACTTTCACTATTCAAAATAAACTGTGTTAGAGAGAATAGAAAAAGGTGATGTCATGGTTCTCCTCTTGTGGGGATAAATGCACAGTTGTGTGTGTGCGTGCGGGCGTGCGTGCATGTGTGTGTGATTGTGTATAATTTGATGGTTTACATTTATCTCTGTAGATTCAACTGTATTGTCTTGTCATGACTGTGTTGCTGTTTTGTGAGACGTTTCCCCTTTGAGAGGAACCTTTGATTATTAGATACTGGAAGTTACTAATGTTTGGAATCTCATCCCTAAGGTGATTTAGCTGAGGGTCTGGCTCCGCTTGACATTTAGTTTACACCATCTTCCCTCAGCTGGGCTCAATCTGAGGAGAGGGAGATGCAAATAGGAGGTCCACTGCACTGGGGTGTCTGTGTGTGTGTGTGTGTGTGTGTGTGTGTTTGTGTGTGTGTGTGTGTGTGTGTGTGTGTGTGTGTGTGTGTGTGTGTGTGTGTGTGTGTGTATGTGTGTGTGTGTGTGTGTGTGTGTGTGTGTGTGCGTGTGTGTCACACAGACTCATGCACAAACACACACACACGCACACACATACAAACACACACACCCACACACACACACTCACACACACACACACACACACCCACACACACACACACACACACACACACACACACACACACACACACACACACACACACACACACACACACACACACACCACCACCACCACCACCCGTTCTCCACCACCTCCACCGGGACCAGACCGGTCAAGCATCTAATTACCCTGCCTGACTAAAATTACAGCAGGCAGCACAGCAGCAATACCACTTGCAACACACACACACATGCACAACAACAAAGACTCCAGCCCGTACGTGCCGCCCATAACAAGCGCCTGTCTCAGCCACTAAGAAAAGAGGAACAATCAATACCAGACGGCCCCTAGTGGGCTCAGTCGATACGTAAACGTGAGGAAGAGCAAAGTGTCCTATTTTTCTTCTGGGGACGGGGGGGCAGACTGCGGTGGGTCACTGGCGAGGGTCAGCCCTCCGAGGTAGCAGGATAATTAGCTTGTTATTGATGCGTCAACCCTACGGGGACGAGCTAGTGCTGCTCTTGGCCAGCTCTCTGAAAGACTCCTGCTTCTATTAGCATAGCTGACACAATGGCCTGGCCATACATCTCTACCGCACAATAGAGACAGTCCACTGAGACTGTGCCTTGTGTCTACCCCCCTCCCCCACCTAGAAAGAGACGGCCACGCAAAAAGCTTTCACTAAGATGCGATTTCATCTGCACAATAAATAAATAAATAAAGGGAAATCATGGTTGTATATCGTGAAGCAAAAGAGAAAGGATGTTGCCCTTACTTGTCTGCCTGTGTGTACAAACCCAGTTTGTATCTCCAGTCATGCAAAACTACCTGCGGCTCTCAATGCCAAGCTGCCGTCTAACCTCCTCTTCTGCTGCTGCTGCCCCTGCTGTCTGCCTATGACAAGGCTTGTCATGTTCCTCCCATTTCAATCTGCCCGTTACAAAGGTACACAGGTATTGTGTTACTATCTGGAATTATCCGTCTGTCTGCTTCCTTGAAAAACAGCCCTACCGGAACAATGGGCTAAAGGATTAAAACAACAATTTATCCTGTTTTCATCGTGGCGTTGACATGGCATTCACTGCCCCCCTCCTCACCTCAACAACACGGTTCCAGGAAAAAGTCACTCTCCGACTCTGTCTCCAATGCTACTATTACGACGGAGCTAGTTTAAGGATTTGACGAAGAAAACAGGATACATTCTTTTTTTGAAGCGGTTTTGCATGACATGTTATGTACGATGTTTATCTCCCAGTCGGATAATGACAGAGATACCTCTCACCACCTCTTTGGGGAAGTGTTGAGTCAGGCCTGTTATGAATGTATATTTCATAACCCCAGATCCTACCCCACACTGAGACTATACCTACCTATCCGTACCCTAACGATAAGCAGTTAGCTATTCCCCTTAGAAGGACCCTCCCCTGGCCCTGTTTCAGTGACAGAGCCCAATACCTCAATGGATAAATAAATAAACTCATGCCAGTGGAGGTTGCCAGCAGGCCTGTGTCCTGCATGGCCCTGATTTAATTATGGCAGACCTTTTGAACAAATTGGCTGTGATGCTAATGACTCAGAATGCTGTGTATCTTGCTGAGTAATCGCCCCCCTCGCCCCCACCACACTCCCGCCACCCACCCCCACACGTATTTTCTGCTTTCCTAAATGGCATTTCCTGCACAAGGTGGGGTTCAGACCCAGGTTTGACTCATGCAGTCTCCTTAAACTTGTTAAACTCAGGGCTTGGGGAAAATTAACGAGTTTACTGGGGCGGCCTCTCAACTTTTTTGTGTGCTTTCTGTGGAATCCGAGGAGTTGGGGTGAGTGATGGGATGTGGCTGGTGATGGTGTAATTGAATGGAAACTGCCCCCTGGAAACGGTTTACCCCCAAGTGCATCGAGGCTGCAGATTTATCCAATAAGCTGTAAGCCTCTCCAAGAAAGGTTACGACAACAGACCTGGCCACCCCTAGCAAAAATGTGTCACCGGGAGGAAAAAAGTGTGAAGCCACAGCTTTTGACCAAATGGATTTATTTGAACATGAACGAGCTGGAAACCCACAACACAGAGCCATTCAAGTTGCTATTAAGCCCGGATCAAATTAGCTTAGAGCATCCTGAGACCAGGTTGACTCTCTTGAAACTCAATATGGGTTAGGGTTCCCTAGTGACCCAGCCGCCACGCCAGCCCCCATCAAACCTTCTGTGAACCACCCTGCAATTGGCCCCAATGTCCCCTAGTTCCTGGAACTTCTCCGCTTGATGGAGTTCATAGAAACTGGAGATCTAGATGTTCTATCCTTTGTTAACAGTATTAACCTGCGTGATCAAGAGGGGTCCTTGCCACCCACACCACACTGCACCACCGTCACCGCTATCCTGCTGTTCTGCTCCTCGCTGACTCTCACCACCCTGTATCCTCCAATAAATCAATAGTGCAGGCCAGCTGGGCAATGTTTTCACAAATTAGCCAGAGGAGATGGACAGTAATGTGGCCGGCGTAGATTAGCCAAACAGATTAATATGCTAGGAGGTCACCATGATCCCCTGCTCTTCTTGTAAGTGATGGCTTTCTGTGTAGTGAGTCACACCAGGTGCTACACTGTCTACTGGCTAGTGTGACATTTTACATTTACGTCATTTAGCAGACGCTCTTATCCAGAGCGACTTACAGTTAGTGAGTACATAAATGTTTTCATACTGGTCCCCCGTGGGAATCAAACCCACAACCCTGGCGTTGCAAGCACCATGCTCTACCAACTGAGCTACACGGGACTACAGAGGATTTGGTAGCGTGGGCAGGACAGGCAGGACACTGCTTGGGGCCAACCGGCAGAGATATGTCACACTGGTCGGAGTGGAGAGGAGTGTGCGGAATAGAATTTCTAGAAGAAAAAAAAAGTTGAAGAAAAAGTTCTACCCAATGACATCATCAAAAGTTTAAACATTTTTAAAACAGTGATTTTCAAACACTATGAGATTCGCGGTGACAAGAATACCCTCCCATCGGCTAGAAACTCATTGCAGGTTTTTTACTTTTAATCCTGTGATGCCACAGAGAAGCATTGTTTACGACCTTTTCTCTTATGTTTTTAACCACAGATCATAGAAATGCGCTGTTTTCACATTTGTAGACACTGGTTTGGTACTGGAGATGATGAATATGAGGTTGAAAAGTGGCGGAATTGCCCTTTGAGAGAGAAAAAATACTCTCTGAAATCTGTAAGTTAATGCTTTATCATGAAGGCAATAGAATAAAGTGCTCCACCATTCCAGCTACTCAAAACCATTGTCATTTTTTCTTCTCCGGCATGATGTTTGCCTACAATCCGACCCCCTTAAGGGGCTTCCCTGTCCAAAACTTGTATTTTAATTTTTAATTGAGTGCAAAGCAGTGGGCTATCGCTTCTTCCCCACCCCCACCCCCGGTAGCACTGTCCACAATTTATATGGATCCATCAGTTTTCTGGGAAAAGCGTAATCTACTGTTAATCAATACAGGATAGTGTATCATCCTATCACCCACTGCCGTACCATGGCTCAACTAACAGGATTGGACCGATGTCAGGAAGTAGTTTCTCCCTGCGTTTCAGCTGCTTGCAGAATTGTGCCAGATCATGTCATGGAGGGATTTTCCTGTTGTGTGTGTGTGTTTTATGTGTGTGTGTGTCTCTGTGTACATGTCTGTGTGTGTCACGTATTTTGTTTTATACTAAACGTGCTCGACATATTAACACTTACCATGTATCCCTAACAGGCTCATGTCTGTTCTGTTGTTGTTTTTTTGTCATTTTTTCGTCCTCCCCCCTGAACATTATACCACAAAGCAGGCTCAATTAGTTAGCCAGCTAAATATTCTGAAATAACTTCATTTTTTTTGGAAAGATAAGCTTGAAATAGGCATGGTCTAATTGACCCAACAAATAAAAACACATATCTAAGTTTAGCATTCTTAATCAGCCAGAATTTATTTTAATTGTTTATTTTAATTTTTTATCAAAGTTAGCTGGCTAACTCATTGATTCTGCTTTGTAGTATACCCGTCAGGTCTTTTTATTTTATTTAACCTTTATTTAACTAGGCAAGTCAGTTAAGAACAAATTCTTATTTACAATGATGGTCTACCCCGGCCAAACCCGGACGACGCTGGGACAATTGTGTTTCACCCTATGGGACTCCCAATCACGTTCGGATTGTGATACAGCCTGGAATCAAACCAGGGTCTGTAGTGACGCCAGGGTCTGTAGTGATGCCTGTAGTGGCGCCACGCGGGAGTCTTACCTCTCCTACCCCCCTCCGAGACACAATTAGACCCCCGCCCCCCCGCCGCCCCCCACTCTGTTTACCCAGTTGAGACTGGATTGCATTACTCTTTGAAACGTAAACACAGGGCCGTAATCAGTTTGTCTATTTTTCAAATGTGCAGCCGTGCGGTCAAGCAAGGCCGGCCTGACTGGGGGGTTTTCTATAAATGTGAGGCAGAGCTGTGGTCTCCCCCCAGCCTCCCCAGCATTAGAGAACATTTCCGATGTTTGTCTATTAGTCTGCATGCATGTGCTCCCCAAAGGTTTCCTGTTGTGTTTGCAGATGATCTGGTTCCCATTGACTGAGGTGCGGACTGTGGAGGAGTCTCTCTCTCTCTCTCTCTCTCTCTCTCTTTTTCTTTATTTCGCTGTGTCTCCCCTCTTTCTATTGTTCAGCCAACATTTAGCCACATGGTTGGTGGGGGATCTCATCATCTCAAGAAATGCAATCACTTTCTTCCCCATTTATTTTCCCTAACCTTGCCTGTCTCTCTCAGGAAAGTCATTATATGCCGGCTGTGGATTGCAGTGTTGGCTAGGCTGAGTGGGCTCCCCCCTAATAGGCGGTCATTCAGCAGGCTCATTTAGAGGGGGTAGTGTTGGAGGGTAAATAAGGGGAAAGACCTGACTGACTGACTGCAGGAGGCCTGTTGATCCTATCGGCTAGCAGAGGGGCCCTCGCTGGAGGGTGGGAGGCTACATTACTAGCCTTTTTATTTATTTATTTATGTACTTTTTACAATTATTATTATTTTATGATGTAAAGCACTTTGTTACTTGTATTGAAAACTGCTATACAAATAAAGTTATTATTAATACAAATAAAGTTATTATTTGAATACACACTCTCCTTTCTCTGTTTCTCTCTCCATCTCCTCTCCTTTTCTCTCTTCCTCTCTGCTCCTCTCTTTCTGTCTGCCTCTCTCTTGCTGCATGGTCTGTCTTGCTGCTGCACGGTCCAGAGCTGGATACACAGCACTGAGTGAGTGAGGGCTGGGAAAGTCAGTTCCCTTGAAGGACTGTCTGGGCTTTTAGAGCTAAAGATGCAACCACTGTTTCGGGGGATGCCAACATCGGCTTCGGGAGGCATTCCACTCTCAGTGTCTGTCTCTATATGGCCAGAGCTTTTCAGAAGAACTGCTCGGGCTGCCTTAATTTCATCTCAATCGCCATCTCAAATACTGAACCAGGGAGGTTTTCCAATGCCTCGCAAAGAAGGGCACCTATTGGTAGAAAAAATACATACATTGAATATCCCTTTGAGCATGGTGAAGTTATTAATTTCACTTTAGATGGTGTATCAATACACCCAGTCACTACAAAGAAACAGACATCCTTCCTAACTCAGTTGCCGGAGAGGAAGGTGACTTTAAAACAGTTACAGAGTTTATTGGCTGTGATAGGAGAAAACTGAGGATGGATCAACAACATTTCAGTTACTCCACAATACTAACCTAGTTGACAGAGTATAAAGAAGGAAGCCTGTACAGAATATAAATATTTCAAAACATGCATCCTGCTTGCAACAATAAACTAAAGCAATATTGCAAAAAAATTCGCTACGTAATTAACTTTTTGTTTTGTTATGTTTGGGGCTAATCCAAGACAACACATCACTGAATACCACTGTTCATATTTTCAAGCATGGTTGTGGCTTGAATATATATTTTTTGAATAATGGCCAAATATTGTACATTACAGGTGTGCCAAGCTTTTCTGCCGTGTTCACATTAGCAGTTTGAAGTGATTGAAATCATATTTATTTGTAGCTCAATTGGTAGAGCATGGCGCTTGTAACGCCAGGGTAGTGGGTTTGATCCCCGGGACCACTCATACTTAAAATGTATGCACACATGACTGTAAGTCGCTTTGGATAAAAGTGTCTGCTAAATGGCATATTATTATTATTATATCCGATTCAAATTAGTTATTTTTCCTGCAGTCTGAAAAGACAAAAAGCACATTGAATCTGAAATGTCAAGCTACATTTCAAATCACCTTCGAGGGTGGTTTTAAGTCTGATACAAAGCTGATTCTTGGCCATGTGACTTGTGTCTGAATGGTCAAATCTGATTTATTTGCCCACAAGTTGTTTTTAGACTGTTATTTGGCATATCTTGTTACTTCCTACTCTGTTGACAGTTTGACAAGAACATGTGGTAGCTAACTAGCTAGTTAAGTGTTACAAATAAATTAGTGAATGCGCTTTAAAGCTAAAAAGCTACCTAGCTAGCTAGTTGACAGTTGTGGCTATCCAAAAATTATATATTTGAAAGTTGGATCATCTTATCCTTTGAGGCTTTAAAGGTGTTCTTACACTGTGATTTTGACAATTCAAAGCAACTGGGAAACGTCCATGGCAGGCATTGTTGTCACCTTAGCTTGCTACATAACTTCTGAGTGATAGGAAGCACGATCACCACCAATCAGCCTACACCACTGCACACACACTCGTCATTACTTTGACAACTAGCTTAGCCATATCAGCAAATGACTACTATCTGAACACACACAAATCCGATTTGGTCACTTGTAACTTGCTGTTTGGCATTTGGTATTTTATTAGGATCCCCATTAGCTGTTGCGAAAGCAACAGCTACTCTTCCTAGGGTCCACACAAAACATGAAACATGACATAATACAGAACATTAATAGACAATAACAGAACTACAAGGACAGAACTACATCATGTTTGGACAGTCAGTAGTCCAAAACGAATTTGAAAAACGAAACTGATTTGAGCATAAGGCCTGCAGTGTGAACAAGGCTTTAGAGACTTACCCAGAAATAATCACAGTAATAACTGCCAAAGGTCATTCTAACATGTATTGACTCAGAGGGTTGAATACTTATCTAATCAAGATACTGTATCTTAGTGTTTTATTTTCCATAAAAACATTTACAATGTTAGAATTTTTCTCCCACTTTTTCTTCTATATTTTGTGTAGATCATTGACAAAAAAATGACAATTGAATCCATTTTAATCCCACTTTGTAACACAACAAAATGTGGAAAAAGTAAGGGGTGTGAATACTTTCTGAAGGCACTGTATGAAGCCGAACAATTTGTAATTTTTTAAGTGTTTTTCATGGTTGCAAATCCGAGGGACACAAATGCCACCGCAATTCAAAAATGACCGCGTGTGCTTGCGTGCGTGTGTGCTGCATGCATCCTTTTTTTGTGTGCATGTGTATGTATGGGGCCATGCTTGCATGTGTGCCTGTACTGTATGGTTTTTTGTTTGTGGTGGTGGGTTGATAGAGGGTGGTGGGGGTTAGGGGCATACAGAAGACATCGGACAATCCCTTTAAGACACATTCGGTGTCCTCTCCTCTGGATGACTGACTGATTGTTATAGATTATTGGGAGGCTTCCTTTGGCTTAGTTGGCTTTATCATTGGAGGGGCCTGTTGCTCAGCGATAATGTTTCTGGATGTTTTCTGGTTTCTCTGTGCAGGTGTTTGATGACCGCGATTAAGCAGCACTGTCAACCAATTGCTTACATAAATAACTAAGTGCTCCATTGATTGGCCGGTGTGACGGGGAGCCAAAGTGCCTGCGAACTCCCCTGAACTCTCTTTTCGACATGCCCGTGGCTCGGCAAAGCACTGACGTCACCTTATTTGATCAATTTAACGGTAATATTGGCATTTGGTTGGCCTGATGACACAGCACAATTTAGTGATACACACTCATGATCTTGGCGGTGATTCAGTTGAATGAGATTGATGAAATCCATATATTTTTGGCCTTTTGACCTCTTAGAGACATTATATTCTTTATCTGTTTAACTTACTAACTCTCTCGCTCTCTCTCGTCCCCCTTTTTTCTTCTCTCTCTCTCTCTCTCTCTCTCTCTCTCTCTCTCTATCCCACTCACTCACACACACACACACACACACACACTCACACACACACACACACACACACACACACACACACACACACACACACACACACACACACACACACACACACACACACACACACACACACACACACTGACCTTTATGTGTCACCATTCCCAATTAAACAAGACAGGAACATGACATGTTCTCCAAGGCTACTCACTCATGTATCATCAGACCCTCACACCGCGACTCTTCGGGTGGCGGAGGTGACAAAACTTGTGAGCCCCCCGTGTGTGACTGTGTGACGATTCCGGGGCGGACATCGTGGGGGGTGGGGATGGGGACACGTACAGGGGTAACAACAGACATCTTGGAGCCTGGATAACTCAGAGCGTCACAGAAGGTCAATGTACGGAAGATAATTGCATTTTTCTCACCTGTTACCTTTCACAGACCTTCAAGAGCGCCACAATGAGCTCATACTGGTGTGCAGGCAAGGGAGATGTCATCGACAACTGGTGTCGCTGTGACCTGAGTGCCTTCAGCAAAGACGGCCTTCCCAACTGCAGTCCCCTGAGGCAGCCTGTGTAAGTCAGAGCCTACCTCCCATCTATCCAACCCTAGGGAGAACTGTTGGAGTTGTAACAACCATCCCTAGGGCTGGGACCAACCATTAATTGCTGTAGGTCAGTCCAAACACCCCGGTGCTTACTCCCAAGAAATAACACTGTGTCTTGTTCTCTTACCCCAGCTCTGTTTTGAATCATCATACACCCCAGCTATTGTAACCCTCAGAACTTTTGGAGAGAGATACAAGGCATTGAATGAACAATGGCTCTCCGGTGGGTTTCCATGTTAAATTGAATGGACCTACTTGCTTGTTTGATTTGTCGAATGGATGCATTGATGATTCCAACTTGCTCCCTATATCTGGTCTAAACATTTTATTAACAGACTCATAGGGCTGCTTTCCCCGACACAGAGTAAGCCTAGTCCTGGACTAAAAAACACTTTTAACTGAGATTCTCTATTGATCAAACTTTTAGTCCAGGAGTAAGCTTAATGTTCCCGGGAAACTAGTCCTCAGTGCCAGTTGACTTCTCATATTGTTATTGTATTAAAGTGGCCCACCTCCTTCCTCTCTCTGTCTGTGTCAGGCTCAGACTGGCCCCTCACCTGGAACCCTCCAGCACCATGGTGGCCCTGGAGTGGCTGGATGTGGAGCCCCTGATTGGCTACAAGCTGTCTGACTACATCATCCAGCATAAACGGGTGGAGGACCCCTCGGAGGCAGAGATCTACACAGGTTACCTACCTGTATATTTCACTTTGGTCCAACCTACATCAGTTATTGACAATTGTTTATCCTATGACAAAGCCAGAGGGACATTAATGAGCTTATTTACTAGTGACGAGCCACATTATCTAACTGGTTGCTCTGCTGATCTGCGGAGGCCTGCCCTTTGTGAGTATCTCACAGACAAGGTTAGACACTCGGTGGGTGAACCAGAGGGAAGAACGGGGGAAAAAGGAGGTGGGTGGTGTGTGGGAGGAGGAAGAGGGGGAAGACAGGAGAGGATGAGAGGATGAGGTTAGGCTATGTGACAGGGGCCTTAATTAGCACTGAACCCTAAGTGTGTAAGTCTGGCGTAGTGAGTCAGAGCTTTGGGTGATAGGGATTTAATAAAGGAGAAGAGATGAGGTACGTTGGTGGAAATAGCCAGCTTTAGTCATCGGCCACGTGGACAGGCGATCATTCACACCTGGGAGGAGGAGAGGACGAGAGCTGATGAGCCGGGCCCAGAAGCCGGAGTGGGCACAGATAGGCATCCTGGCAGGGGTGTGGCAGGAACAGGGCAGATGGCGTTTGTGTGACTCACCTCTGCGTCAGAGCAGTCCAGGATACAGATGAGAATGTGAACAATGTCTTTCTCTCTATTTATCTCTACCTTCTATCTCAATTTCTCTCTCGTTCTCTTTTTTCTGAGTTTACAGTGTGTCTCTTTCACTGTTATTGTCTCTCATCTCTCTCTTGTTCTCTCTCTCTCTCTAACTCTCTCTTTCTCTCTCTCTCTCTCTCTCTCTCTCTCTTGTTCTCTCTCTCTCTCTCCCCCTCTCTCTCTCTCTCTCTCTCCCTCCTCTCTCTCTCTCTCCTCTCTCTCTCTCTCTCCTCTCTCTCTCTCTCTCTTCCCCCCCTCTCTCTCTCTCTCTCTCTCTCTCTCTCTCTCTCTCTCTCTAACTCTTTCTCAAACTCTCTACAAATTCCTCCAGAAAGCCAAGAAAAGTTGGAATAATGGGGACTTGTTAAAATTAGGAATTATTCTCTCCAAGACTTGGGAAGAGGAGACTGTCTGCCCGGCCAGTGATACACTGTAACCTGAATAGGGGAAAGACAACAAGTGTCAGCAAGTTCAGATGGCTACGCAAACCCGGACAAGTATTGTTTTTTCACAATGTCCAATTCCATCCATGGAAATTAATATCCTCTATACCCATGGCGAATCGTTTGGTTTCAAGACCTTGCATTGAAGTCCTTTCTAGGGGAAGAAACAGAACCGGGATAGATATAAAGAGCCCCAGTCCCTGGTCACCTGGAGGCTTTAAACAACAGATGAGACTTCCACAGAGAAGCACATGACGATCAAAAGCAGACCGCTCCAATCTGGGCCACACCCCAGCTTTCATACACCTGCCAAGTGAATTGAGTGCTCTTCAAAACTGGAGTCAGTTTAATACCTCATATATCTGAAGTTTTGTAGCAGGTATGCGACCCTCCAATAGTTAAATCCATTGGAAACTAAATGGCTTTTGCATTAAAAAAGATACCTACAGCGGCAAGATATGAAAGTCCATGGGCTTCAGGCGGTAACGGGTTGGTCAGGTGAAGCAACATCCACATCAGGTTGTTTGATACAGATAAAATCAGTAATGTCAAAACTATTCGTTGGGCTTGGAAATACTTTGGAGTTATTGAGGAGGTATTGAGGTAGGATTGGATGGATTGCACTTTGGGTTAAAAACTCTAAAAGGCAATGATCTTCTAGTCTTCACCTGACCATCACCTTGGGAGTTTTGGGGTTTTATACATTATCCTCAGCATAACCTCCTACAACTCCCTACTTTGTATGATCCTATTCCCATGTTCCCTGTTGACATATACTCCCATATCTTCTGCTGTACTACTCGATCCTTTTATACGTCTCATCTTGTTCTTTGGGAGGCTTAGTGAGAGCAAGGTGTAACACCACCCTGATCTGATCTCACATCTGCACGAACCATCAACAACTATCTCCCTTTTCAATCCTCAATCCTCAAATCTGTCTTCAGATCAGTGGGGAGATCGGTTAGTAAAATCGAACCGGAGCGAAAACCTACTCTCCCCGGCGAGGTCAAGAGCAGCAGCAGCGATGGACTGAGATGGACTGACTCTCTTTGATATGCTTGGACAGTGGCCTAGTCGGCCGAGTCCTCAGTACATAAACACTACCGTTTATACACCCGTGATCCGCCTGATCTACGATCCCCCTCCTGGCAGACCATCAGTCAGCCTTGGGTCTCCACAGCCTCAGAGCCTGAAGAGGAGCCTCAGAGCCCCCTATCCTTTGAGCGGCAATAAGCACCCAAATCCCCCTTCCTCTCTTATTGTTTACCTCTTCTCTTAGAGATGGTGATCATCCCCTGGTCCTTTATTAGATCAACAACTAATCAAATAAAATGTTATTTGTCACATGCTTCATAAACAACAGGTGACTAACAGTGAAATGCTCACTTACGGGCCCTTGCCAACAATGCGGTGAGAAATAAATAAATAATAGAAAAATAATAACACAAGGAATAAATACACAATGAGTAACAATAACTTGGCTATATACACGGGGTACCAGTAACGAGTCGATGCGCAGAGGTGCGAGGTAATTGAGGTAGATACAGTATGTACATATAGGTAGGGATAAAGTGACTAGGCAACAGGATAGATAATAAAGAGTAGCAGCAGTGTATGCGATGAGTCAAAAGAGTTAGTGCAAAAAGGGTCAATGCAGATAGTCCTGGTAGCTATTTGTTTAACTATTTAACTAACTATTTAGCAGTCTTATGGCTTGGGGGTAGAAGCTGTTCAGGGTCCTGTGGGTCCCAGACTTGGTGAATCGGTACCGCATGCCGTGTGGTAGCAGAGAGAACAGTCTATGACTTGGGTGGCTGGAGTCTTTGACAATTTGTAGGGCCTTCCTCTGACATCGCCTGGTATAGAGGTCCTGAATGGCAGGGAGCTCGGCCCCAGTGATGTACTGGGCCGTATGCACTACCCTCTGTAGCGCCTTACAGTCGAATGCCAAGCAGTTGCCATACCAAGCGGTGATGCAGCCAGTCAAGATGTCATTAATGGTGCAGCTGTATAACCTTTTTAGGATCTGAGGGCCCTCCTGAGGGGGAGGAGGCATTGTCGTGCCTTCCTTAGTGATGTGGACACCGAGGAACTTGGAGCTCTCGACCCGCTCCACTACAGCCCCGTTGATGTGGATGGGGGCGTGCTCGGCCCTCAGTTTCCTGTTGTCTTGCTGATATTGAGGGAGAGGTTGTTGTCCTGGCACCACACTGCCAGGTCACTGACCACCTCCCTATAGGCTGTCTCGTCGTCCTCTTTGATCAGGTCAACCACCGTTGTGTCGTCAGCAAACGTAATGATGGTGTTGGAGTCATGTGCGGACACGCAGTCATGGGTGAACAGGGACTACAGGAGGGGACTAAGCACGTATCCCTGAGGGACGCCCTTGTTGAGGGTGTGTTGTTGCCTACCCTTACCACTTGGGGGTCCAGGATCCAGTTGCAGAGGAAGGTGTTCAGTCCCAGGGTCCTGAGCTTAGTGATGCGTTTGGAGGGCACTATGGTGTTGAATGCTGAGATATAGTTAATGAACAGCATTCTCACATAGGTGTTCCTCTTGTCCAGGTGGGAGAAGGCAGTGTGGAGTAGAGGTTGACACGGGAACAGGACTCCCGAGGGTCTTGCGGGTCCCGCGGGATTCCGGCAGGAATGGGAGTCAACTTCTAGAGTCAACTTCGGGACAGGACATGATTGACAGTCCACAGGAGCAGACAGTACAGGAATAGTTATAAACTTAGTTTTTTGTCATGTGTGGAGCATTTCATATTTATTTTTTGTGTAGGCCTAATGTAGTTTGATTAATAACAACCAATAAAAAAATGAATGGTTGTTTTGCCCCCTCCCCTTTCACATGCCTCGCTCCAGTTGTAGCCAGTCACTACTTTGCCCATTGACTTTACCTCAGATGCACGCTGAGACATACAGTACCAGTCAAAAGTTTGGACACACCTACTCATTCAAGGGTTTTTCTTTATTTTTACTATTTTCTACATTGTAGAATGATAGTGAAGACATTAAAACTATGAAATAACACATACAGTGAGGGAAAAAAGTATTTGATCCCCTGCTGATTTTGTAAGTTTGCCCACTGACAAAGAAATGATCAGTCTATAATTTTAGTGGTAGGTTTATTTGAACAGTGAGAGACAGAATAACAACAACAAAATACAGAAAAACGCATGTCAAAAATGTAATAAATTGATTTGCATTTTAATGAGGGAAATAAGTATTTGACCCCCTCTCAATCAGAAAGATTTCTGGCTCCCAGGTGTCTTTTATACAGGTAACGAGCTGAGATTAGGAGCACACTCTTAAAGGGAGTGTTCCTAATCTCAGTTTGTTACCTGTATAAAAGACACCTGTCCACAGAAGCAATCAATCAATCAGATTCCAAACTCTCCACCATGGCCAAGACCAAAGAGCTCTCCAAGGATGTCAGGGACAAGATTGTAGACGTACACAAGGCTAGAATGGGCTACAAGACCATTGCCAAGCAGCTTGGTGAGAAGGTGACAACAGTTGGTGCGATTATTCGCAAATGGAAGAAATACAAAAGAGCTGTCAATCTCCCTCGGCCTGGGGCTCCATGCAAGATCTCACCTCGTGGAGTTGCAATGATCATGAGAACGGTGAGGAATCAGCCCAGAACTACACGGGAGGATCTTGTCAATGATCTCAAGGCAGTTGGGACCATAGTCACCAAGAAAACATTTGGTAACACACTACGCCGTGAAGGACTGAAATCCTGCAGCGCCCGCAAGGTCCCCTTGCTCAAGAAAGCACATATACAGGGCCGTCTGAAGTTTGCCAATGAACATCTGAATGATTCAGAGGAGAACTGGGTGAAAGTATTGTGGTCAGATGAGACCAAAATCGAGGTCTTTGGCATCAACTCAACTTGCTGTGTTTGGAGGAGGAGGAATGCTGCCTATGACCCAAAGAACACGATCCCCACCATCAAACATGGAGGTGGAAACATTATGCTTTGGGGGTGTTTTTCTGCTAAGGGGACAGGACAACTTCACCGCATCAAAGGGACGATGGACGGGGCCATGTACCGTCAAATCTTGGGTGAGAACCTCCTTCCCTCAGCCAGGGCATTGAAAATGGGTCGTGGATGGGTGTTCCAGCATGACAATGACCCAAAACACACGGCCAAGGCAACAAAGGAGTGGCTCAAGAAGAAGCACATGAAGGTCCTGGAGTGGCCTAGCCAGTCTCCAGACGTTAATCCCATAGAAAATCTGTGGAGGGAGCTGAGGGTTCGAGTTGCCAAACGTCAGGCTCGAAACCTTAATGACTTGGAGAAGATCTGCAAAGAGGAGTGGGACAAAATCCCTCCTGAGATGTGTGAAAACCTGGTGGCCAACTACAAGAAACGTCTGACCTCTGTGATTGCCAACAAGGGTTTTGCCATCAAGTACTAAGTCATGTTTTGCAGAGGGGTCAAATACTTATTTCCCTCATTAAAATGCAAATCAATTGATAACATTTTTGACATGCGTTTTATTTTATTTTATTCTGTCTCTCACTGTTCAAATACACCTACCATTATAATTATAGACTGCTCATGTCTTTGTCAGTGGGCAAACGTACAAAATCAGCAGGGGATCAAATACTGTTTTCCCTCACCTTATGGAATCATGTAGTAACCAAAAAAGTGTTAAACAAATCCAAATTATTTTCTATTTGAGATTCTTCTCAGTAGCTACCCTTTGCCTTGATGACAGCTTTGCACACTGTTGGCATTCTCTCAACCAGCTTCATGAGGTAGTCACCTGGAATGCATTTCAATTAACAGTTGTGCCTAGTTAAAAGTTAATTTGTGGAATTTCATTCCTTCTTAATGCATTTGAGCCAATCAGTTGTGTTGTGGCAAGGTAGGGGTTGTATACAGAAGATAGCCCTATTTGGTAAAAGACCAAGTCCGTATTATGGCAAGAACAGCTCAAATAAGCAAAGAGAAACGACAGTCCATCATTAATTTAAGACATGAAGATCAGTCAATCCGGAAAATTTCAAGAACTTTGAAAGTTTCTTCAAGTGCAGTCGCAAAAACCATCAAGCGCTATGATGAAACTGGCTCTCATGAGGACCGCCACAGGAAAGGAAGACCCAGAGTTACCTCTGCTGCAGAGGATGAGTTCTTTAGAGTTAACTGCACCTCAGATTGCCGAAATGAATACTTCACAGAGTTCAAGTAACAGACACATCTCAACATCAACTGTTCAGAGGAGACTGTGTGAATCAGACCTTCATGGTCGAATTGCTGCAAAAAAAACAATGGACACCAATAAGAAGAAGAGACTTGCAAGGCCAAGAAACACGAGCAATGGACATTAGACCGGTGGAAATCTGTCCTTTGGTCTGATGTGTCCAAATTTGAGATTTTTGGTTCCTACCGCCGTGTCTTTGTGATACGCAGAGTAGGTGAACGGATGATCTCCGCATGTGAGGTTCCCACGTGAAGCATGGAGGAGGTGGTGTGATGGTGTGGGGGTGCTCTGCTCGTGACACTGTCTGTGATTATTTAGAATTCAAGGCACACTTAACCAGCATGGCTACCACAGCATTCTGCAGCGATACGCCATCCTATCTGGTTTGGGCTTAGTGGGACTGTAATTTGTTTTTCAACAGGACAATGACCCAAAACACACCTCCAGGCTGTGTAAGGGCTATTTGACAAATGAGAGTGATGGAGTGCTGCATCAGATGACCTGGCCTCCACAATCACCCGACTTCAACCCAATTGAGATGGTTTGGGATGAGTTGGACCGCAGAGTGAAGGAAAAGCAGCCAACAAGTGCTCAAGATATGTGGGAACTCCTTCAAGACTGTTGGAAAAGCATTCCTCATGAAGCTGGTTGAGAGAATGCCAAGAGTGTGCAAAGCTGTCATCAAGGCAAAGGGTGGCTACTTTGAAGAATCTCAAATATAAAATATATTTTGATTTGTTTAACACTTGTTTGTTTACTACATGATTCCATATGTGTTATTTTATAGTTTTGATGTCTTCACTATTATTCTACAATGTAGAAAATAGTAAAAATAAAGAAAAACCCTTGAATGAGTATGTGTGTCCAAACTTTTGACTGGAACTGTATATATATTTGATTTTAAAGGATTTTCTTTTGCAATTTAGTACAAAACAAAAGCACACAAAAAAAAACTAAAAAAACACAGCTACAAGATATATGAAATGAAGTATTGCTTAAGCAAGACATGGGACAAGAA